ATGCGTTATCATCGTCACCTGTGCTTTTCCTGCTACGATGTGTCAAAGAAAATGACTGCTGTGAGCAGAAGTCCTGTGGCTGCATTTGAAATAATAAAAATGAAGCCTGCTTTTGCATGGTAAACACGACACTGACAACAAGCAGGAATAAAGCTGAACACCATATGAGTGTGTCAACAAAGATGCAACTAATGATTATTTTATTGATTGGGCTCCACATAACTTCCCATCATGCCATGCTCACAACAGATCAACTTTCCACAGACTTAATGTATTTGTCCAGTGTGAAATATGATACACCATCTGTGACTACATGTGATGAAAGAATACAAAAAAATGTTTGCTGATGAAATGTGAGCTTGATTTATTCACAGTCTCCAGAAGTGTTTTTCTTTACGCAATCTGTGAATGTAAAGTATTTGTGTCTAATTCGGAATCAACCACCAATAGGTTGACAATGAGTATAAATTGCAGAGTTAATATTCATGATCAGTAATATTTAAAAAATCCTCATTATTTTTTTTTTTTTACTTTTTTGAGTAGCTAACTATTTGACTATTGAATATCACTATTTATTGCCAATAGCCAAAACTTTGGAATATTTCTAAGGCATTTTTTGTCATATTTCTATTTTGGCTAACATTTTAGAAACATTTTGGGATGTCTAGTTTGATTAATTATTATAAGTGTTAACTATCTCTTTTTATTTCTGGTAAAGTTAAAAGTAAAGAATACCTTTGCTACTATATGCTATTTTTGATTGCTTTTATGGATTTTAAAACATTAGGTGTTTTGGGAAATTTTAAGCTAAATTTAAGCTTTATCTTTTCAAATTTACATTACATTTTTCTTATGTTTGATAAACTTCCCTGGAATCCCTTAATATAAACAGGAGTTAATATATAAAATGTAAAATGTAGAGTTTGCTTTTGTTTATGCTCAAGATCTTATTTCCTAGTATTGAACATCAACTATTCTAAAACAATATTTCAGTCAGATCCTCTGTCTTGCTGCATGAAATCCACAGTGGCCGCCACCTACAGCATGTGCACCACCCACTTGTAACCACTGAGAGTGAAACGTCCAGGAGAAATCTTTCACCCAGTGTGATGAAAGCTAGAACTCTGGCATCAGGGGCCCGGAGCGAGACAGCACAATCTCTCCAGTTCCCAACCCACACGTTTAATCTCCTGGCCTTGATGCAAATGCTTCTGAGAGCAAGAAAACTGCAGTGCTCTCACTGTGTGAACTAACTTCCCTCTTTAAGCAAAGCAGGAACTTTTATCAGTCTCAGACTGTCTTTACGCCTGCACTTCTCTGTGAACAGTGATGGAAGAAGAAGTTGTCATCTATCTTCTCCATACTGTAAGGAAAATAGTAAGCGCAATAGTGGGAACCCTACTTTGAACAGTATTAATTGCTTAAACTCCCACTCCTTTCCTGGGGTTATCCAACCAAGCTTTATTTTTGATAAGTCAGCGTGGTTTCACTATGATATCATATATTGAATATTATATAACGGTTATACAAGGGGTTGAACACAATAATGATCTATCTATCTATTTATCTATTAATATGGGAAAATAATAAGACACTGGATTCTCCATGCCAAAGATGAAAAGACCTTCAAGACTGTTATCAACAAAAAGGTGCAGGAACATGCCACTGTGTGGAGGTGCGTCAGTAGCCATGGCCTAGGGGGATCTGCATAAATGTGAAGGTACTATTAATATAAAGCTTGAGACGTACAGCGTTATGCCCCTAAGAAAACACACAGCGCTGCTGAACACTGCTTAAAGTCTAAAACATGATTCAGCTCCAGCCTCCCAAGCCACTGATTGAAATTGATCACCTCACTTTGAGCTCAAACTCAAGTCAATCCCACTGAGGTGCAGGGCTGGCAGCGTACACCCAGTCAGAGAGGAGTGGGACTCAGGCAGAGACAAAGTAGTCAGGGAGTGAGGGAGGAAGAGAGAGGGAGAGCACATGAGACTGGAGTAAAGAAGAGCCACATTGAACAGCATCAGGGCCTCGGGGCCTACTGGGATGCTGATAAAATACCTGGACATTTTTATAGACAAACTACTTATTTCTGTCCTCATATCGCTTGGGAAGACTGATAACTTTATATTCCTCTCAGGCAGTGGAATGAAAAAGGGAGGGAGAGCCCTTTCAAGAGTTTAATTGATCAAACTGTAGCTACAGGGGTTTTTTTAGAGATAAAGAGACTAGCACTCTCCCCTGTACAATACAGAGATCCTTTAGAAAGCAGACCCAATGAAAAAAGAGAATGTAACCCATTATGCAAAGTCATTACAGGCCTCTGACTGCACTCCTTAGAGCAGCACAGTTAATGGTGGAATTGTATCTTACAGGATTTCCAGAGGTCAAACTGGCAGACATATGATAATGATCACATTATTGTTCCAGACAAAGTTATACATGGCTGTTTTGAGGTCATGACTATTTTTTTTTAGCCTGTTAGCAGCAGTGACATTGTTTTTATTGTTGATCGTGAAATGTTAAAAGGACACAAGGGATCTATTATACAGCAAGGTGTAGCTTTGTCCACAATAAAACACAACAGAATGGACATTTATAGTTGGACTTCAGTAAAAAAAAAAATGTCTCAGCTCGGTTAATACAATCAAGACAAGCCTGTTGTTGTACCAATTAAAAATACAGTTGGTCCACCAAAGACTGTTATTCATATACAAATGTTCTACTGTTAAATATATATTTAATGTACTAGTAAAGAGAGGCTTCCCCACACACTGCCACATTAGTACATTTGTAAAGAATACTATTGTATTATTTTAAACAGTTGTGTTACGAGTGTCATTGTTTGGCTAAGGTAAAAAAAACAAAGGGCAACTGCTACCAGTATTTGTCTATGTATTAAATTGCTAAAAAAAAACATTGTTTAATAAACATACAGGAAATGTTAGCCAATGCTACATATAATACACACATAAATGCATGTAAACAAGCCTAGATGAAGCATATTACCACAAATTGTGATGACATTGGTATTGGGTGTACTTTTGTCTTTTGTATCACTTGGTGTCAGATTTTTACCCAGTGCCAATTGCTCAAATGTCATCACTAGTAAGGCTTATATATACTGACCTGCCAGATAACCATTGTCACTTTGACCCACATACACACATGCACAAAAAGTCTTGTAATGAACAATTTAGGCGGACTGAGGTCCCACACAGGTTAACTACTGGTTAATGAGCATTAGCTATCTATTGATCTCTATATACTTTCCTTATTGATTTTTTTTGCTATACAATATAACACTTCTAGCTACCTGAAGACTATTTTTTAGGAACTTCAAACTTTGGGCACACTTATAATTCTGTTTTGTAGATGCATTGCTTTCACTATTCTAATGACTGGAGAGAGAAAAAGAGCCACCTGAAGTCTATAGCCCCTGAAAAACACCCCTGTGGTAAAGTACAGATGTATAAGGTAACTTCAAACCAATCTGGTTATGTTTACAATTTCAGGAATAAAGGAAAATTACAAAAAAACAATAGCTTTACATAATGGGACTTATTATAGACATGCATTCACTCGTTATATATTGAACGCATTTTTTAAACTGCATGTGAACAGAATTCACCGCATTAACGATCAATGTCAAGTTGAATTGTTGGTTCTGACTCTTGAACAGTTCAACTTTGTCCAGTGCATCAAGGCTAGTCAAGAGGGAGATGGGAGGGGGGGACAATCAGGTTCACATCTCACAGCCTCCATGCGGGAGGCTATAGAGTCCAGGAAGGATTGAAAGGATTTTAGACGTAGGAACAGAGGGGAGAAAAGCACTTACCTCTCCCATCCAGACGCCACAGGCTAATTCACTGAGACAAACTGCCTCCTGATGAGGCAGGAACAGGAGGTCGGTGCATGGAATAAAAAGAAAATCTCCCGACACGTCCATTTTATTGTCTCCAGTCACTCCTGGCAATAAAACGTGCAAATGAATGCATGCAAAACAACGGTTCCTATCGATGCATCTTCTGCTGAAGAACAAGTGCACCGTGCAGAAATAAGAATGTGTCAGTAAAACGACCGAATGAGCACGTACATCCACGGAGCTGCAGAAGGGAGGATTTTGTGCAGATGTGAGAAAGCATTAGGATGCAAGAAATGGTGTGATGGCGAGAGGGACTGTTGGGAAAGACAGATCTGCATATGGAAATCAGGGTTTGCGTGGATTAAAAAGTCAGCTTAAAGCACTGCGAGGTTTTGTATTTCAGAGGAAGTGCCTGCAGTCACCAGGCCACAACAAGAAACACGTGATTGACAAGCAATAGGGTGTGTCTGTAAGTGACCAACATTCACTATTTATTGACTAAATCAATGCATAAATAAACACATACAATGCCGCGCGCAATGGGTTCATATTTCTTGTAAAACATTGAAAACAATAGTAAGTACACAGTCTTCGCTTTCTCATAGCAAATAAATATTTGACTTACATGTTCATTCACGTGTTGAGTCAATTGCAGTTGTGTATATATTTCGAAAGTGTCCAAACATTTTAAGGCTGTCAAAATAAAAGAACAATTTAAACGCCATTAATTGTACATGTACACGTGTACACAACGTATGCAATGCATTAAGCTAAATACTAACAAGTAGCTAAGGGATGCGAATCTCTATCTTGCAACAGTGAATACACTTTCTTGAGCTTGAGAATTGTTATTTTATATAATGTCCCCGGTACTTACAGGGAAACGTAATTTTGATAAGGGGGGGTTACCAACGTGACTCACCACGTATTGTAAAACTATATCAGACATATAATCTACAACGATAAATGCTGTGTAAATCTTAACAAATCTTTAGTGTAGCCAACCCTAACAAAGAGGCACAGCTCGACGATTCCGGATGCCTGTTGCAGGGAACGCTCTTGTTGTTTCCGGATTAATGACGCAGCGTGACTACACCCACATTGTAACTTTTGACCAATCGTTGAGTACGTAGTTGGCGCTTGCGTACCGAGACTCTCTCGCGCGGGAGAGAACGAACGTACAAACAATGGTGTTGATAGTGACAGCTGTTTTAATGTCACTACTTTGGAAACATCTACGGAATTAACCATTAACCATACCATTCAGGAAGCCAGATTGCAAGGTCTGAGAGTGCGTTTATGAAAATGTGTTTAAGAACTCATTGTTATAGGGAGATCTCGAGTTATAAACGGGTAAATGCATAACATACTTTAAAGACGTAATACTTTGAAATAGAAAAGCTAACGCTAGCTCTGCTCTCCATGTATTTCATATCAGGAAGAAAATACCGCAAATAAACATGGCTTTAACCAGCATTATGTTGACAGTAGGTAGCCAGCGTACTAGACTAATGTACTCTTGTAAATGTTGTTTACGTTAAATAAAAAGTTGCGCCTTGTGAAAATATTTTTTTTAAAGATCAAAGTTTATTTTTTCACAATTGGGGTGCTGTACCGTTGTGGTAGTAGACATCAGAGGATGGTAAACTCGGGATCTAATTGTTTGCAGGAATACTTTTTGTATTATTATTATTGAAATTAAGATCTTGTATTTAGAATGTTAAACTGAACCAGTACAATACAACAGCAATCGTAACAATTTGCTCATGGAGTCGAAGTTGCTTTGGGACTTTTAAAACCTAAAATCTTATTAAGAATAATTAAAATGAACTATAATATGAAACAAAATTTGTTTTAATTTTATATGGTTTTCTGTAATTTTGCAGTAAAGGTGATATTGAATCCCAGCTGACAGTATGGCGGACAATTTCAGCCAGTCCCTCACCCCACCAGTGTCCCCCTTTGCGTCAGACAATCCGTGTGAGCTTACTTCTGCCCATCCACCTTATTTTTGCTGCTCTGAAACAAGAGATGACTCTGGTGGACAGCTGTCTCCTGAAGGATACACTGCTAGAGGCTCACTAAAGCGGTACAGTCACTGTCCAATCATGAGTATAACAACGAGTATGCAGAATATTCAGCTAAAAGAACATTAACTTAATGTACCAGCACTATGTCTTCATGTGTCTTCCCTCTAGTCTACTGTTGCATCTTGACCCAGCCCCTACAGAGTATGAGACAGACACAGTGGAGATTTTTGGCTTCCCTTGGGTAACAGAGACAGCCCTAGTGGACTCCACCAAGGTTCTTTTTGGTCTTTTCAGGTATTGCAAGCCAGGATGTGTACTGGATCTCAATCAAAATATCTAAGTGCTATAAGTTGCTTACTTTGTATTTTTGTAATTGTGCATGTCTGGAGCTGGTGTTTCATGTATGTCGTTAACTTTGATTGCTGTTGTGAAATTCCAGGCAGAAGGTCTACAGACTCGAGACCATGGTGCAGTCCGGTTCAAATGACTTTGGTAAGCTAGACAGAAATTGAAACCTTTTTACCATGTTAAATATAAGTTGAATGCAAAAAGAAGAAATTTCACTTTTCCCCATTCAACAAAGCTTGAATATGTTTTTCTGGCACTACATATTGTTGCTTTCTGTTATACCAGAACCTTTTTATCATTTACCTCTGGTCTCTACTTATTACTGTCCTTGTGTATTTTAGGTCAAGCTGCTAACCTCCATTATGAAGCGGAAGACCTCAGACAACAATGTGTTTCATTTCTTCAGTATGTCAAAGTCTTCGTGTACAGGTGAGAATATTTTAGAGCAGAACTTGTTTTTAATGGATTCAAAAGTTTTTGACAAACTACACATAATAATACGTCACTTTGAATGTATATTTTTAGACACCTTGAACCTTGCAGCTCATTGGATTCATCTCAGTCTCACCCTTATGAGAAACTTGAAGTTCAGTTCCCCTCTGCTCTTGTGGAAGAGTTGTTTAGCGTCACACTCCTCACAGGACGACTCAAAGACCTGCCTGCCAACGTCCACAGCGCCTTTAATATACGGAACCAAGGAAAGGTATCAAATAAACATTAGTCAAACTGTGCCTTTTTAAGAAATTATTATGACTCAGGCAACAGATTAGATTAAATAATACCTTCAAGTTTTCACAGCAATGAAATTGTTTTTTGCACTACAATTGTTCAGTATTTGAACTTTTTAAACTTGTTTTCCACAGATCTTTCCTCCCTCATGGCATCTGTTGCACCTTCATCTTGACATCCACTGGTCAGTCTTGGAGATTCTTTATCTACTTGGTTTCAAGATGCAGGGTGAGTCCATGTCAGTTTCAGGTCCAAAACCAGAGCAAGATAAAAATAAATTGGAGCTAAAGTTCTCATTACATGTTATTGTCAATGTCACAAAGGCTTTTTGAACCTTTTTTAAATCTCTGTAGGTCAGGTAGTGTACGCCCACCAGTTTGTGAACTTGACAGGAGAGAACCTGACTGAGGCCAGTCTCTTTGAAGAACACCTCAGCAGTTTGTTGTGTGATCTCACTGCTCTTGCCATGAACAAATACAGCAAGGTTTGTGGTTGACCACTAATTTAATTTAAACTTCCTGTGTAATCTGAATCAATGGGAACATATTCCCTTGTGTGAGGTACTGGGTGAACTGAACAAAGTTGAGAGTTATCTTTATTGGTTCCTCAACTGTGAACTTTGGCCATTTCTAGGACTTCATCCTCGCCTGTCATAACAAGGCTAAACGTGATGGGGATAATAACTCAATATTACACCTGTATGGGTTGTTTGTAGTTGAAAGGGCGCTTCTAAAGTAATGTGTTTGGTCACAGTTTGGCATAAACTGGATATAGAGTTAAAACACTGAATCTTATTTATCATAGGTGAGACCCACAGAGGCACTGAGCAGCCATCACTACCTCTGCTCCTGCACCAAAGAACTTTGGGTTCTGCTCATGCACCTAGTGGAGCATAGAAACAAAGTTCTACACACCGAGGTAATAAAGAAATATAAAAAAGTAGAAGAATATGCAGTATGTTATCATAGTCTAATGACTTTTTTTCCTGTTGTCATTTCCAGTCTTTTTGGAGCTACATGAACATGTTGCTGAAACCTCTGGTCACCAACAAACCTCCATCAGAACAAGTCACTGACCTCCCCACTCACTGTAAAGATCCTGTGGGATTCACATGGTGGATGGTCACCCATTTAGCCATGATAGGCCAGTACAGTCATAATGGCATGATACAGAACGGGGTAAGAGAACAATTTCTTCGCTTCGCACAGACTGCACTAGATAAAACCTGGACACCAATAATGCAGTGTAACCAGAAAAAAGAAATCAGTCAGGAAGAAAGATCTGATGTCAGAGAATTAACCATTATCTATTTTATTTTTCATTTTATCTTTCATCAAATTCTTGAAGTAATACATTATTCGTGTGACTAAAGTTCAATTTTTGAGTCACTTTCCAACTGACTTTTCCTGACAGTTCAATATCGAATTGTATCAAAACTTGAAATGGTGGCAGAAATAAAACTACTCTGTGACAGTTGATGACAGTCATTTTGTATTAGCCATGTGGCAATTTAATAGTAGAGATGATGTTGGGTTTTCTTTTATTTTTTTACGAGAGTATTATGAGAATCTATTGATTTTAATTATTTTTATTAAAATGCTTCAGCAGAAACAACTTGGCGACAACTGGGCCTTTGTGCAAGGGTTGCTTAGGGTGACCTGTCGTCCTGAGGTCAGTATGACTGTCAGTTACAGTGAAAAAAAACCCATCTATGATTCATTCATTTATTTATTTGTTATTTGCTTATTTAGTAAAACCACACCACATTATGTGTCTCTTACTGTGCGTTACAACAGCCGGGCCTAGCAGAGGAGCAGGTCAGAATGCATGTCTACTGCTGCCTCACTCTCTGTCTGCTGTGGGAGCCGAGCACCAGCGCCGTCTCCATTCTGTGGGACTACTACAGCAAGAATCTGGTGAGAATACCCTTCTAGGAAACAAGAAATTGATTGATGTCTAATTACCAAATGGCATAATGCAGACATTGGTGTGTTTTGTCAGTGTTATATAATTATAGGAGTATATGTATATATGGTGTGAGTGTGTGATTCATTTTCTTCTAACCAAAAGACAATTAAATAATGGAAATTAGAAATTAGAAAAAAATTGTTTTTTTTTTTTTCACCCCAATGGTGACAGACTGTCCTCTGTTGTAGACATAAGCGTAATGTGGTTGTACTTTTTTTTGTGAGTGTGTGGCATCTGTGGTGCTGTGATCCATTGACTTGTCATTAAACCAATTTTCTTTAAAAGGTATTTCCAAGGCTTGAAAAAAGTTGTATTACTTTCTTTCTTTCCCCCACTCCAGAATGGCTCCTTCACTGTCCCCTGGCTTGGGATGGCAGGTCTGGGGACTGTGTGCAAGACACCACTGGCTCTGTTAGAGCAGGCCCGCAGCTGCTGCTCCCCCCCTACGCTCTACTCCCCAGGACACACCCAGCTGTACCGCTCAGCCAACTCCTTCCACATCTTCCTTCAAGTGTTGGCCCTGTGCCTTGGCCAGGACAGGGCTGGTGGAGCCCCACAGAGACAGATCAAAGGAAGGTAAGGATGAGAGAAGTCTGGAAGGCTTTGTAGTTCTTCCACCTTTACATTTGCTTCCAGTGGGAAAAGCAGGTCTCTCGTCCTGCCAGTCAGCCTGGTAACACATACATAAAGGAATTTGGAGAGACAACGCTGAATAAAAAGCACTAAGAGACTAGTTACTAATCAGGTCGAGGCTTAATCTTTTAATGTGTGTGCAAGTTCAAACACACATGGATGCCCAAACATTGTTTGTTTGGGCACTATCATTGATTTTCAGTCTTGTTTGTGTGAGTGCCAGGTGCACTGCAGTATCCCAATGCTTCTTTGATATTTACTCAGACCCCCCGGTGGAGCAGGTGTCTCAGGAGTCAACCACCTGCTCTTCAGAACAGTCCAAAGCCAAAGAGCCTTCTTCTGATGACACACACACACACACGCACACACACACAGACTGCACCTGCTCCCTGGAGTACTGACATGGTTTCAGATTGTATAGTGCCCCTTGCATGGAGTGAGAACTTGCATCTTTGTGAAGAATAGAGAGGGAAAACAGTGGGAAAAGAACCACAGGTTGATGTGTATATCCTGCTTTAAATAGACTGCTTTAAATGGACCTTCCTACATCCCAGCCTGACGCCACTGGACCTTCCTACATCCCAGCCTGACGGGTCGCCAGAGAACGGCAGCCACAGATAAATCTGCCTAATGGTTTCCCTCTGTCTGGAATGTGCTTAGTCGAACTGCAGACATGAGGCCTAATTAGCTAACGAGCGTGGCGGTTAATTCGCCTTAACGAAGCTGTGCTGGTTTCCAACATGAAGAGAGGGGAGCCTCAGTGGTGGGGTGTGTGCGGTGGGAGGATGGTGGGCACTCTGGCATCAGCCAGGCTGGGCTGGGACAGATCCAGATCCCCCCACTCTCCACCCCTCACTAAAACTATCACTTCTGCCTCCTTCACTTCAGGAGGCACATGGCTTGTTCACTGTATCGCTACGCCGCGCCGGCAGTGTTCCCACTCCTGGCCTGGCTCTGCGGGACACCCCCAACAATCGTATTAATGGGTTTTGCAATGGGCACGTTGATCTCCAATGCAGAGTGTGAGGAGCATCTGCTTCGAATAAAAATGTGTCTGGAATAAGCAAACAGACATGCAGGTTAGAGAAACACAGAGCATTTCCTACTGCTGTCTCCCTTAGTGCTCTGTCCAGAAACCTAATACCAGAAAGGTTAGAAGAATATAAATATGAATAAATATTATATAAATATTATATATATTATATAAATATTATATATTTATAATATAAAATGTATATAATTCTTTAATGATGATGATAAAATTATACCTGACCCACACACATCCAAAAAACATGACGCGTTGCCTGCTCTCTCACACCAGAATAGAAATAGATGCAAAAAGTATTGTGTTCATTTTTGTACTATAAAAGATCTGAGGTTTCCAAAATCAGTGGTTACTCTTGTTCATTTTCCACCAACCATTTTCTCATAGAAGATGGCTGTGTCCACATATTCCATGTCTACAGAGTTCGCTTACTACGCTTACTCTTCTGCAGACATTTCTTGGTCTGTGAATTCCAGCTCCAAACTGTCTCAATTTAAATCTCTGTCTTCTGCTGGGCCTCTTTAAGGCTAAAACTTAGTCACTGATCTGATTTCATTTTTAACCTGTTCGTTCTCTTTTCCTCTCTGGTGTTTTTACACACCTTGATGTGAGTCATGGCTGTTGCCCAGAGCTCGTCTCGGGATACGCACTGTTTGTGTTTTGACCCAAACAGCAGCTCCTCTCACCTGTGTGTGGGCAGCATCGGTGTTTGAGAGGTGTGTGTGAAGGAAAAGAGGGCGGCTCCAGCGTTCTGTGTTTTCCTGCCAGGCAAGAATGCAGCGAGCTAACTGTGTGGCGATGTGTGTGTGTGTGGTTTTATTGATCTCTCTCTGGTGTTGCAGTAAATTGGTTTGGCTGTAGAGAGAGGGACTCAGCGCCTACCGCTGTGTGTCTGAGTGTCTCTGACATTTAACATGATCTTTAAAGGCATTTCTCCACGGTGCCCGCAGGATCTAACTGCGTGCTGGGTGGTTCTCCATCCCTTGCTCCATGCACACACACATACACACATACACGCTCATTCTGACACAGTCTGGTCAGCACAGCCACTCCCCTAGAGGGTAAAGAGGCAGGTGGTGCAGTACAAGGTGGGAAAGAAAGTTGTTTTTGGTTAGTTTTTACAAACAAACATTTCAAAGAATCAGTTTATTCCACGTTTGCCATTCAAGAACAGTTTGTCACAGAGTATTGGGTCGCTGATTCTGCATGTTTAAGAATACAAGTATCTGTATGTATGAAGTATCAGGCTCCACACTTAATTCATTACTATTTGTAACTTTTTTCCCCCTTTGATTATCACCTGTATTTAGGATTTACTCCAGGTTCTCCTCAAAGAAGATGCAGGAGTTGACAGAGACCGGCCTCACAAACTTTCTGCTGCTGTTTCTGGTGGTGGCCAAACAGATTGAGCTTGAAGATGTTGCCAGCAGAGCCTGTGCACTGCTGGGCTGCCTTCCATCCAACTGCCCTCCTGGTCGCCGTACACTTGTCTGGAGAGGACAGCTATCACTGCTGTTGCTGTTCCAGGTATGACTGATAATCACAACAACGAATACTTGTCTCTTTTCTTTACATTTCAATTTCCTACATCTTTTACCCTTTTTTTTCAAGGAGAGGGGTTTAGATGTTGGTGCCCAGGCGAGCTGGCTGGCAAACTCCTTCAATGAAACATCCAAAGAGTTCTATGACAAAACCACTGAAGTTTCTCGCAAAATTGCCCTCTGGGGCACACTCAGTTCCTATCTGGATGGTGTGTCGGAGGTGTTTGAGATGAGCTCCAACCTTAGCCTATCAGAGGAGAAGCTGCTAAACGATGGCTTTGCGTGGTTGCTACGAGCTTGCAGTCAGTCGGAGCTGAACTCTGCCCTCTGCTTCCTACAGGTGGTCCTCGCTCAGCTCAGGTGAGTCAGCTCACAGGTGTCACATGTCTTTCCTCAGTTTCTTAATTTTCTCTTTTGCTCAGTAGTGTTTCCACACTGATGCTTAATGCTTTTTGACGCAGCTAAGTTTAGCTTTCAGGAAACTCTCAAAGGTGGTCAGGGGATAAGGAGAAGCACCAACTAGAGTCATCTCAGTTCTCTTATGGACAAAAGAGCGAGTGAGCGTCTATAAAGACTGTACTGTATGTCGAGTTGAGGCCCACTACTATTCTCTTGAGGACTCGTGCCCTCCAAGTCACCCTCTCCTGGTGCTGCCAGAGTCTGAGTAGAGTTACACACCCAGGAGAGCCAGCATGAAGCCCTCTATAGTCCTGGTCACAGTGGTACTGCTGTGGTCCTGGTGAGAGACCACGACCAGAAGATTGTCAGGAAGAGTTCAACTGTTGGACAGAGGTGTTTGTTTCATGACCTTCCCCAGCAGAGGATCAGTTCACCACAGCTGGTACAGTGTCTGTTGTGTGTGGGGAAGGTGGACGTGAGAACAGAAGTGACGGTAGATAGAAATCAGCTGAGAAGTTTTTATGAAGTGAGAAATATATTAGTGTTGATTCACCTGAGCTTTATCTATTGTCTCAGAGACTCCCAGTCTTTAATTGTAAATTAAATTTAACCACATTGATTTCTAAAACCTTTTTTTTACATCATGTATTGTTTTGACGCATTTGGTTTGGTTCATCACTGGATTTCAAAGTAGTAGTAATGTATATATATTAATTTAGTTGCATGCTTTAAAATGCTTTGTATTTAAATTAACTTAAACTTGTAATTGAATGTATATGATCACAATTATTACTTGACATTAGAAAAGTATAGGGAAAAGAACGTTTTAGAAAAGAACGTTTTTTATACAGAGTAACGTTCATCAGTTGACAAGTTAAAATATCTCATATCAAATGCACAAACTCAAAGTCAAACCTACAGTATAAAAAATAAACTCAAACCTAGAATAAAGATAGCTAGCTATCATAATTATTCACCATGCACTCACTGGCTGATCAGAGCTTAAGGGAAACAATAAGAGGAAACTTTCTAATGTTTTCCAGTGATATTTTTAGAGAATGTGATCCCTTTGTTCTCTGTTTTATACATTATACCCTATGGTCTCTGCATACACAAACCTACAGTGATTTCGAAATAGCAAAGGTGAAACATGAGCCAGAGTTAATACTTCTTACCTATTAACAATATATCTGGTTAGCCCGGCTAATTCCCAGACTTCCCGATTTCAGATCTAGGGGTTGGAGGGCACACATTTGCACATTAATGGCCAAGGAGAGTAGGAGAAGAAGAGAAGTCTCTGAGGTGCACTGTGTTATGGCCTGGACCACAGTGACCCACTTAACCAAGTAAAAAAAATAACACCATGCTCCCTCTCTCTCACTCTCTCCTTCCAGTTCATCCTGACAAATTAAACATAATTTTTTGCCATGAAAATGTTCAGTATGTCATTGTGATTAATGCTTTTTCTATGACACAATTAATGGGCAATTATGTCGCTTGCCAATTTTGGCCTGTGTATCATTATGTCTATTAAGAGCCGTGTAGAACCTGCACACATTAAGAGAATTATTCAGCCGCTGCCTCAGACAGTGGAAGGTCCGAACAGTCTTTCGTGTAATTACTGAGTTTGATTCTTTCCTGTGATCTTCTGTTGTGGGAGGCACTGGTTGATGAGGTGAGCTGACGTTGGCACACACGCCCAGGGGGATCAGTTTTGCTGAAAACAATTAATTCTCGTTTCCTTGGTTTGATAAAAATACAAGAGTCCTCTGTGATGTGTTTTCTTTTATGAGGATTAAGGCAATTTACCAGCTCTTTACCTTCAAAGACTGACTGTTTGGACTGTTGTGAACAGTTACTTTAGATCTCTGCGCCTTTATTTATTTATTTGTGGATTTCATCAAGAAGAAAGTGGGTGCGGACTTGAAGTTCAACTTTAGGCTCAGTGATGTTTGTTTGGTGCCTCCCATCCACTCTCTGTCTTTGTGAGGATTCTACTTGTCTGCATTTTTAGACAGAGCTGGGGGGAAGGGTTAAACGGAAGCCCTAATAGTGTGTTGGTGCTGAGTGTGTGTGTGTGTCAGTGTGTATTTGTGTGTTCACGGTGTAAGGAGCTGCAGTGAGGAGGATTAAGTGGGGTCTCTGACGATGTCTTGTACAATGAGGGTTGATGGGTGTGAAAGGCCCATTCCGCAGTAGTAACGAGGCTAATGAATTCAGACTCCAATCGATTGTCTCTGCTCTCCCTGGATTAGATGCAACCTTGCTGGAAGGGAAGACACCGTAGAGGTGTGTGTGTCTGTGTACGTGTGTGTGTATATGTATGCATGTGTATGTACCATAGCAAAAGACTACAGTGATTGAGGAGGTGATGGAAAAGAAGGGGGTTTGCAGGTTCCTCTGTCCTTTCTTCTCCCAGCACACCTCACCCCCCCTCCCGAATCCCCTCCCCCCTTCTGAGCGAATAGGGGGGACAGGAGGATCATCTCCAGTCTAAATGAGATTACAGCTCCTTCAGCTGCTTATCTGGACTAATGCCAGCCACTGTGGGGCTGCTGTAGCGGCTGGGGCGAGGGCCAGGGATGAGCCAGAAGAGCCCAAGTATAGTGTGTTCCTGTACAGGGGATCAGTATTAGGCTCCTCTCTGTGGCTATAATATCCTGTTCTCCTGCTTCTCAACCTCTCCTTTCATCCAGCTCTGCTCCACAGTGCAGTGCACCACCGCCCTTGTAATCCCCCAGGAGAAAAGAAAGAGAAAACACATCAAGAAGTGGTGAAAGACAAAAACAGAGGGGGCAATAGGTTTTGTGAAAATCATGGGACTATTTAAGGGAGGGGTGAGCGTGATACACAAGACTTTTTTTGTTACTCCGCTGAGACTCTTGTTAATTTGATTTGTCTTCTCTGTTTTCTTTATGTGTTCCTGTCTGTGTCCTACAGACGTGTCCATCAGCGCAGTGTCCAGCAAGCACCCACCTCTGCCTGGCTTCCTACCTCGACCAATGTGGTGAAAGAGCGCCACCTAGCGGTAGCAGCAGCATTGTGGACACACTTTTTTCCTTTCCTGCGCAGCTTGCTCCTGTCACAGACCCCTCCAGCACAGCTGGCAGATGCTGCTGCAGGTCAGTAACACCCACTGGGAGTAAGAGGTACACAGAGTAGAAAGGAGAAGAAGGACTGAGAAAGACCAGGTGGTGAGGGCAAAAAGTTTGGCTCGAAAGAAACTAAACTTGTAATAGCCAGTTTTGACAATTTTGAGTTAATGCCATCATTTTACATGAAGATATTTTGGAGAGCGGCAGGTGATTTTAGGCTTTTAAAACTTGGGGAAAAATAGATAAAATATGGAATAAAATATAAATCACTAATGTAATTTTGTCTTTTGAAGGTTTCACTCTGCTTGCCTTTGATTTGCCAAGCTCTGCTCCACAAGACCTACAGCCCAACCCAGTCCTGTCAACTATGCAATGTTTCGCCTGGGATGACATGGTTCACCCATCTTTGGTGACTCGCTACCTCCCCCATCTGCTTCAAAACAGGTACAGTTATATTTATTTTTGGTAATTACTACTTGTGAGTGGATATTTTCTATCTAAGCACTCTTGAAAAAAACTTCAGTTTACTTAGATGATTGGCTGATCGTTCCCTGATGATTTTTGTCAAATTGTAGTATTTAGACAGGTGAATACAAACCGAGTTTGTCCTCTATGTTTAGTGGGAACAACTGAGATAGACAAGTTCTTCGTACTAAGACGAAATGCTGCAAAACATGAAATCGTTTCAAATTTATTAGTCATATAAAGAGGGTGTTACAAGAAAATGTTCATTACATATTTGAGAAAACCCAATAACCGTTAAATGCTTAGTAAATATTAAGCATTGTTCCTGATCTCTGTCATTTCCAGTGATCTGATGTCGTCACTGTGCGGTGATGCTGTTGTTGGGGTCTCAGGTTCGGCACAGAGCCTCTCCGTGAGAGCCTGGTTCAGATGTGTTCTGCAGCAGTACCTTTACAAGAACGCAGATGGGTCTGACAGCAGAACAGGTACAGTGGATAAATATATCTACGTAGTGCTCACACAAGAAGGGAATTATGCAAACGAGGGGAGTACGTCCATGTAGGTTTCATCAGGAGATTTACTGCCCACTATTCCAGCTGTATTTTAGCCTCAGGGATTTTTTTTTACCTGTACATGATGCAGATAATTCCTGGTTTTAAACACGGCTTAATCCTACAGGAACGCCTTTAACCTTGACTCTTCCCAAGTCCCAAGAGTTTCATCTGACAGACTCTAAAATGTTAATGCTTGAATGTAGTACATACTGTAAATAGTAGAAGGTGTAAAATGTTGTGTTTTAAACAGACAGAGTTTGCGTCTTTGTTCAGGCCGTGTTTTAGAAGAGCAGTTGTGTGAACTGACCCGGCTCATACTCAGGCTTCCTGAAGTGGACTCTCTTCTGCAGAAAGCTGGACTTCAGTCCACAGGCACCAGGATTGAGCCCACCTCAGCTCTGGAGATGTTCATCAAGGTAACGCATATTATTGGTGAATATTGGTCACGATAACCTCGGCACTGGCCATTTGTCTGTATCATTTACATAATAACAGAAAGCAGTGGGTTAGAAGTGACATCATCACTCTTACTACATGGGATGTTATCTGCTGTCACTCGACGACCTTTTAACGGCACTAAAATGAAGAACTTGTTTAGATTTGTATGTTGGACTCAGTTTGTCTAACTGGATCAATGTGGATTATTCATCCTACACAAAAATCTAAAGGTTAATAATTTTAAAAAAGCAGAAAAATATAACTGATGGCTAAATTACAAGCCATCGTAATATAAAGTGCTATTCCTAAATTTTGAAAATATTATAGTGTTGACCATGGTGTGAGTTTTTATTTTTATGAGTATATTTATGTACACAAACTGCTTTTCAACAATGTCAGGCGGTGGGCCGGGTGTACAGTGGACTTCAGGTGTTGTCTGAACGTTCCGCGATGATGTCCAGAGCTCTGGACTACATCGGAGATGTCATGAAACACATTAAACCCTCTCTGGTCATCAAGAATCCAGATGGCCTGCAGCTGGCCTACTGGGCTGTAGGTATGTGTGCAAGAAAAAATAAAACATACACATATTTACACACACCTCACACTCTTCAATTCATTTAGCTTTTTGGGTTTTTTTGTCAAGAAATGAGACAATCATAGCATGTAAGAATAACTGTTGTTTGTGGTTTAGGCTGCTTAGTGAAGCACTGGAGCCCCCTACTGGCCACATCGAAAGCCCAGCAGTTACTGTTCCGTATTGTGGATGTGTTGTTGCTCCCTCACAACCTCACACAGCAGGATAAAGCCCTCAGGGACAGCCTTCCTCTGTTCCTACAGGTCAGAGTAAACATATACAGATGCATACTGTGCTGTGTATCACAATCACACCTTAGATGATCAGGACTCAGCAGATTTAAAGATGATGACTGTCGTGCGGCGGAAATCCAACCCTTGCATCCCTCATCCATCTGTAATGTGTTCAGATGTTTCCTCTCTGACATTATTAATTGATTCTCCTGCAGGGTTTGTCAGTGGCTTCCAGAGTCTCTCAGTCCCAGGGTTTCTACCTGAAGCAGCAGCTCCGTTCTGTTACCCGCAGATATCTGGATCATTTCCTTCCTGCCTCTCCATCCTTGGGTGTCATAGTCAACCACCCGGTGCTTCTCAGTGCCTGTGAAGTGAGTTCAGTCACCCGAGGGGCATCGTTGAGGAGAATCATTGTGGAGGTTCTCTGGTACGTTCTGTAGAACCTGAGTGACGTTTGACTTGTTCTTTTTCATTTCTTGGTTTTCACTGTTTTTCTATCACCATGTTTTTTAAAAATAGGTATATTCATGATTCAATAACTGAAAATTCGAATCCCATTTTTCCAGTGAAAACTTTCTGCAGTTTAAAGGACATGCTCCTCCTCCTCGCCTTGCGTCATCTCTGCTGTTCTTAGTAGAACTTCTGAGAAGAAGTACTGAATCGGAGCCTGCACTTCTCACTCTGCCCCTCCCTAACCTGCTGCGCTGCTTGATGCTGGTCAATGACCCACAGGGTAGGACGCGTCACCGACCACGCGTTAGACCCAGTTCAGACTGACACATGTATACAGTTCTAATTACAGTAGGATACAATAGCTGTTAATGTGTCCTACGGTACATTTGATGATGGTTTGGTCCCTTAAAGACGCCGTGCTGAAACTTGCTACACTTTTTTCAACACTAGTTTTACTTTATTTAAAATACTGTTAAACATATTTCCTGTGAAACGAGTGTGCCTGCTAATACTAATATAATCTGAGTATGAGTCTTGTAAAGCCAAATTATTTTCACTTAATAGAAAAGTAATATTGCAATGATGTTTACTTTTAATTATATAAAAACACGTTGCAACATTAATTTGAGAGGATGTTCTTTAATATCAAATAATGGAATTTTTGTTTCAAAAAGAAGTTAGTAAATATTTTGTTTACTTTATTTATCTACTCTGACTGTGATTCATATTATACAAAACAAAACGTCTGTGCAGTGAGGAAGATAAGCACAGATGCTCTGCAGCTCATAGTGGAGAGATGTGCTGCTGCGTCTACAGAGGGACCATGTGACCAGATGATCTCTGTCTTACGGTAAGTGACAATAAGTACAACTAAAAGTAATGTACGGCAATAAATATCTGGTGCAAAACTGTCTGCGGCGAGCTTCAGTCTGCTTTATCTTTCACGGCTCTCACTGTTTGTGTCATTCCCAATGCTCCAAGGTCATTTGTGGAGGAGAATGAAGGAGTGTATGACAGGCAGGTATACAGTGCCCTGGAGACTGTGGCTGTTTTAGATCCATCTGTGGTCCAGGCTCTTGTTCCCAACCTGTCTCTGAGCCTGAGAAATACAGAACACAAGAGGGGACTGGGCAAGAACATCGCCTTGAGGTAAGCAAGTGTGTGAATCATATCCTGGAGGCTACACACACAGGATCCACTGCTTTCAACTATTTTTAAGTTGTCTAGACAATATGCCTGTGAAATACTGTGTGGCTGTTTGCTTCAGTGAGAATATCTGCTAACACGACTGACCGGTCCGTCTGTGTTACAGGAATGCATATCGGACACTGCTGTCCCTGCTGGGGGACAGTGGACAGGCAGAAATATCCAGTTTGGAAGCTGACTAAAAATAAAGTTTTACAAAACCTGGTAACATCCTATACACAAAAGTTGTCATGAAATACTCTACACTACTTATTTGGCGGACATTTCGGAGTGTTTGGAGCTGTCGTCCCTGGTCATGGAGCTCTTCACCTTGTCTAAGTGGCTGCTCTGCTCAGCGCTGCCCTTAGATTGCACCCCTTCCATCCCACTTGAACTGTAGTAGAGAGCTAACGTCAAGACATAAAGAGGATTGAATGTGCTTCAGTAGTACTCGCTGTACCTGGAGAGTTAAAATAATGCACTGTAAGCCAGTGTTCCTAGAGTTTGTATATAATACATACAATATATACATTGTAAGGACCTTGCAGGTCTGCCTGTACACATTGTAAGGACCTTGCAGGTCTGCCTTTGGACAGATGTATTATTAAAAGAATAAAATGTGACAGTGAATATGAATGTGTTCATACCTGTCGATACACCTTTCATCCCAGTCCTACTACAGAACAGGAAGTGAGGAATGTGAGCAGTGAAGCGTGGACAGGCTATTTGTGCTTATGCCACGAGGTGCTGGATGCGTTTCTCCCCGCTTTGCACTCTGAATTACAGATTTGATGACAGTCGTGGGCGAGCCCAAAGAGTTCAGCAGCAAAGCAGGGGGCGAGAACAGGAGAGTGTTATTTGTTCCAATTCTCTCACGCTTTTCTAAGCCACTGCAATCTCTTAGAATTCGTTTTTAGTTTGCACCTAATCATACAGTCTCACTTCTGTCTCCCACAATCACCGAGTCTTATTTCATGTCATTGCTAGTCATTTTCCATCCTTATCAGACTGCACAACACCACTTCATGTGAGCAGCCTTCTCATCTGCAGCGCTCCTTCTCTCCGGTAGCATCAGAGGTGGCGAGAATTCACAGAGATGTGCGGCTGCAGAGATGATGCCTTAATTTAGTGCTCAATTATTTATCAGTGCTAAATCCTCCTCGGTGGACTTTCTGCACACTGTCACAGCTGTAAGCCATTTTCATGAGATGCATCCCAGCACCATTACTCCAGGCTTCATAAGTTATGTTTCTCCCAGGAAGAGCCTGACACACCTGCAACTTATGAGTACAGTTTTTAGGAGTCAGAAAAAAAAGCTATTTTCAATAGTTCCAGTCTTTCTGTCGATTAGTTTACTCTTTTAGAATTCCTTTTTTTTTTATAAATCACTTTAGTCTATACATTGAAACAAAGACTGGACTGAACATCACTAGGGAGAGGTCATTTGAAGTCACAAGTTCAGTTTAAAATTTTGATTTCAAATCTGAGTCAGTGACAATAAATGTGTGGCTTTGTTAGTGCTGCGTTTAAAGTACCGTTGTTGGGTCAATGTCAGTGTCTGATTGGTCTCTGGCCTTAGTATCAAGAACTGTTAGAAATCCAGGCATTGAGGGAACTAACTGGCACAACTAAGCAATGCTTGCAGGTTAAGCGTAAATGCTGCTAAAAATGAGGCTTTCTCTCATTTGATCATCGGTTTGTGAAGAAAACAAACACATTATGCATGTTTTATTGACACTTCATTCACACACTTTGGAGACTTTTCGGTAGATGTTTCCAGTGTGATGACAATGCTCAGACATCGGAAACAAAAACAGTCATTGGTCCTGAGGACAATAGAAAAGCCACAGTTACCTCCACAGGTTCTTATAAGTGCTGTCTGTCTTTATTGTTGCTCAAAAACTGTATCATTTACTTTTTTTGAACAGAAACATGAGGTGTTTCAAACCTGTTAAAACAATATAAAATTCATGCGAGGAAATGAATGGATTTTCTTGAAAAACCACGCAGTCAATTTTTCTAAACATCAGAGTGATTATAGTGGTTTAATGTCACTATTATGTATTTTCCAGCTATAAAAACACTGCTACAGCCCTATAATGTCTCAAAAACTCAGCGATTCACCACAGGTCACTTCGTCATCAATAGGATTGACATTTTGTTTCTTTGTTCTCGGGGACTTCAAGCCCCAACAGAGTTCTTCTTAACTTTCACACAGCATCTATACTGGGCATCACCAATGGCAACTGCCATTAGGGAAATACAAGACTAACGCCGTCTTATTGTCACGGCTGCTTGTGTCGGATTTTCCCACAAGCCCGCAGAATAACATGGCTTTTGTGGTCTGACAAAATCATATCATTACAACAGTGTTGTGAAGAAATCCCCAGTCCTCTTACAGCAGAGGGGAAAGATTTCCAATGATGACTAAGATCGGCTTCATTTTTTTAAAAAAATACTGACTTCTGAGAGTGTAACTGAGGTTTCTCTTTGTCTTTTGTGTTGTTCATAATTTCTGGCACTTTATGCATTAATGGTTCAAACAGCACCAATTCTGTGATGGGGGACTTGGAGCGTCTGGAGGTTTGGGCAGGTGAAGTAAGGAGCAGGGAGGAAACATGCTGCTATTCCATTAGAGGCAAATGGCAACGTTGGACCGTAGAAAACCTCCTCTTTACCCTCTGTGCTCACATCCAGCACCTGGAAAATAATATATAAAACAGCTGTAAGGCAAACCTACCAACTTCTTTCAAAGGAGATCAGATTCTGGTAACGTAGAAAATACAAAGCACTTGTCTTTACATGTTCATTCCAATTACTTTAGGAGCAAGATGTCAGCAGAAGGTCATTTTAATTTAATTGGGTCAAAAGAGCTAACAGTTAGCCAAGAAATAGCTCAAAGTTGGAAACAAGATTGGGAAAAAAATGTAACAAAGTTAGACCATGTTTAGTCAAAAGATTTAAAAGTTAAGCCTGAAACTGCTTAAAACGTTCAGTTAGTAGAGTGAAACAATAGCAACAAGTTAGCCAAAACCATTAGCGATAAGATCTCTTAAACATAGAGCTGCATTGGGCTGAATTTAGCTAAAGCTATGGAAAACTCAAGCTAAAAGTTCAAATTGTTAAAGTTTAGAAAAATTGAAAAAATGTAGCTAAAAACATATTACTTCAAACAGTCAATGAGAGTCAGCTCGAAATATGGTATAGAATGTTTAAAACATGATAAGGAAAACCAGATTTTTTAAAAATATATATATTTTCATCCACGTTACAGAGAGAGTGCAGCGTTGGTAATGTCAGGGTAGAATCAGACTGGGACTGTCTGGCCCTTAGATCTCGCTGTTTTAATACACGAGATGTGTGGAGTAATTTTATGCAGCGTATATCACGCCGTTTCGCTTCACTGCATGAGCAGCATACGAGCAGCATCACGAGCAAATTCATACTCACATTATTCACATCACATTCTATCTGATAAGTGTGAAGGATCACAACAGCTGGGAGTGTAAATCTAAAATCTCTCACCTGAATGCATGCCAGAGGCTCATTGGTCCAAATGGAGTAGCCTCCAACCACATAGATCCTGTCGTTGTGAACGGCGATACCAGACTCGTTTTGACCTGAGGGGGACAGAGACACAATGCTTCACCATGTCAGACTGAGGGAATGAAGACAATATGACTTCCATGTCCCCCCGAGAGAGAGGGAGGGAGATAAACAGAGAAAGACGGAGAGTCAGGACTGAGCTGCTCCTCTCTTTCCTGTGACTTTGTCCCAAACTTTGACAGACACAAAGCTGGTGAATCTGAGGTCACTAAGACTTTAAACCTTGTGTATTTATGACCTTCCCTGATGTGTGATATCAGTAGCTTTGACTTACTAACTGTTCAACACTTTGATTGGAACCCACTGTGACTGGAAATATTAACATTGGTCCAAATGCAAACGTCTGTTTGGTTTTTCTTCTCCAGCTACTGAGAATATAATACAATAACATGAATCTCACCCATAAAGGTCATTGTTGGTCAAGTGTTGAAAAACTATTTTACTAGAGTTATTGACAAATTCAGGATCTCCAGTGTAAATCCATTCTGATTTGTTTGCTTTGTGACAGTAAAAGTAAAGTGAAGCCTTTGGTTTGCAGTTAAAACAGAGTCATCTTTTTGAGCTAACACACCATGACACACTGAACGTCTTTGATAAAAGAACATCTGAAGATAAACATTAAAAGCTTGAGCACAGTATATAAAGTTGTAGGAAACATCAGTGAGTGAGTTACACAGTGTGTACTTTCATATGTGTCACCTCCTCTGCTTTATTAGCTATTTTACTAATATCAACTGAAAGAAAATGAAAACCAGGAACTAGCTACATCACAGAGGATGAACTCATATTTTGGTCCATTTTTTTATAAATGTTCCATCCACAATAGAGCTCTCTTCACACACACAAGTAAAGTAGGAGAAGACTTTTAATCACCCTCCTGCCCTGGGACTGATGTGAGAACTGACTATAGAAAGCTAGCAGTCAGCAACCTCTCAGCTGAGCTCAGCACAAAAACTGAGACCTAAAAGAGAATGTCTGGTTGTGTCTAAACATTCATTTGTCAGCACACTCCACCTCTTAAAATCAATCACTGACACTTTATCTACTGTGTAAAAAGCCCATTTCTGGCTCCTTGGCAATTTAGCACCAAGAATTTTTTTTTTATTGTGTTAAAATGGTATTTTCGTTAGAAAGTATTAACAGGCACAGTTATCTTAACCCAGAAGTGTCTAAGCTGTTAATGTTGTTCATTCTAATGGGGTCATTTTGATTTCTACTTTCCTGCATTATCTTGATTAGCTACAATTTAGCCATTTCAGATAAACCTTAGTTAGAAATGTACCAAAACATCTGACTTGAAATAAACCTCCATCCATCCATCCATCCATTTTCATCCGCTTATCCGTTACCGGGTCGTGGAGGCAGCAGTCGCCACCCAAATCACATTGCACCGCACCAACCCCCTTAAACCTTCCTGTGGGTGGTGAGTCCACTGGAAGGTACCAACCGCCCTAATCGGGATTCGAACTTGCCCAGGAGGTGAACCCTGGGGTTCCACACCAATGACAGAGACATTGCCTCTGGGCCAAAGCGCCACTGAAATAAACCTAACCGCAAAATTTTTGCAAGGCAGCTAACACTTCCATAACTATAACCGCACAATTTTAGCAAGGCAGCTAACACTTCCATAACTATATTCTAAGACTTTACTCTTATTTTAAAGTATCCATAGAAAGAAATTTTGAATTTAAGGTGTTTTGTATGTTGTTTGACGTTTCCCACCCGTGAGGAGGCTGAAGGAGCAGCGTGTCCACTGGTCCAGGTCCATGTTGTAAGAGTCAATGTGCCGGACCAGGATGCGGTCGTTGTTGTAGTCCAGATCGTTGCCGCCAAGCACGTAGAGCTGCCTCCTGACTGACGCCATCACATGGTACACCCGTCTCTGCAGCATGGGACTGCGAGCCAACCACTGGTCCTGGAGGAGGTGGAGGTGGGGGGAGGAGAGGGAGTGGAGGGGTTAAAGCAGATGGACAGGAGGAAGAGAAGAAAGGGAGAAAATTACGTGATGCAGATGAGAAGGAGGTGAGGCGCAGTACGACGGGGAAAGGAGGGAAGGAGGGAGAGAGGGGGCGGAAAGGGAAGGAGGATGAATAAGAAGATTAATATTTAAGCATATCCATGCATGGGTAATTGATGTATGCTCAGTGCTAGATAAATAACGTGACACTGGAGCTCTGGTTTGTACTAATGACTTCCCTCCCTATTTCTAATCATATGTTTCAGCCACTCCATTTTACACCAAGGATCCCTGCTCATTTCACTAAGTGTGCTGAAGCTTATTTTGTCTCAGGGTATGTAAAAGTGTGTGTGTGTGCGTACGTGTGTGTGTGTGTGTGTGCTTGATTGACGCAAAGAATGTGTGTATGTGTGTGTCTGCTGGGAGCTGACGGGTGGCCATCTGTTGAGGGTAGAGTGGGTGGGGGGTTGCTGTAGCTCTGGCAGGTGAAAGTAGATTCATGGTGAATACAAATGAGACTTTCTCCCTCTCTCTCTCTCTCTCTCTCTTTCTCTTGTCTCTTCGTTTCCAACGCCGACGTGCACAAACACAGACCCATATGGATGTGCACCTCACGCTTATACACACCGCATTACTCTGCGCTGCTCTATAGATACACTGTATATATGAGCCAGGCCCCTTTAACAGCTGCCTTATCACATACGCAAACAAAGGCTGCACATTCCCATGCAGAGAGCCGTGTCAAAGTGTACACACGGAAATCAATACATTTTTCCTATAATACACTGACACAATGCAACAAATTAAACGGACATCTGGTTGACTTTCCCTGCATGTTTTAGGTGAAACATCAAGTGCTCTTTATTTCTGTCTCATTAAATTGCGAGTCGTGACCTGATTGTATATCATGTGTAGAAATGGATATGACCATCAGCAGCTTTTAGTGGAGCTGTGGACGAGGACTACAATATTGGAATAAAAATTAAATTTAGTTTAGTGGGCTGGATTTGCCCCACAGGCCATCTGTTGATCATCACTGTCATGTAGAGACCAGATAGACCAGATCGTTAGCATAAGGTCTGTAGTGTTATTGTTGAACAAATCTATGGCAATTTCTGACCAAAAGCATTGCATTAGTTTGTTTTTTAATATGTAAGTGTGACTGTTGCAGCCTTACCAGGAGCATTGAAGTACACTGAAGTACATTCTTAAGCCTGAGAAAACTGCCTGAGCAACTATAAAAATTATTGTGCAAAGAACTTGAAGCTCAGTGGCTTAGGAACAAAACTAAGCCTTAATTAAACCATTGTATTTCTCAGCCCTTTAGAGCAATTATACCATGGAAAACAGTAACAGCATTAGCAATGTTGTTCTTGGACCTGCCTTAGATCTCCTGACATAGGACAGAGGTTAAGATCTAAGGAAAACTCAGAAGTACGGTGATAAACCTCAGGGAGCATGGTAATATATCTCCAAAAGAAATCACTGTCAAAACACAAATATTGGTTAAATCTGACTCTTTAATTTCTGCTTTTCTTTTCATCACATGCTTATATAAGTAGCCATAAGTTTACACAGGTCTGTGCAGTGGCCTCCGTGTGTACATGTTGTCCAGTGTAAACAGTATGGTTACCTGTTCTGGATCATAAACCATTAGTCGATTCTGGTACTGAGCCGTATTAGTCACTCCACCTGCAAAATAAATGAACAGCAGCCAGGAATTTTAACAGAAGGAATTTACTAAAAAAGTGTGTTTCAGTGTGTGTGTGTGTGTGTGTGTGTGTGTGTGTCTGCTGAAATGAATCACACCCTGGAGTCTTCCCCTCCTCACACTCGTACCTGAGATCCAGAGCAGGTTATCAGCCACACAGCCAGCGTGGCAGGACAGTGATCGGTCAAAGGGCTGGACAAACATCCATTTGTTCCTCTTGGGGCAGTAGCACTCCACAGAAGGCAGCACCTGCCGTAGCTCATTCCTGCCCCCCACAGCATACAGGTACTGACCCAGAGCTCCCAGAACAAAGTGTTCTCTGCAGGCTTTCATAGGGGCAATGTCTGTCCACCGGTTACCCCTGGGGTCGTATCTACAGGCAGTCCTTACTGCACACGTCCTCCCAGTGGCATGCTCCACCTCACCACCCACCACGAACAGGAAGTTCCCCATCGCTGCCACACAGTGGTGGCTGCGACCAGTGGGCATTGGGGCCAGCTCGCTCCAGTTGGACCCACCGGCCACACGTACGTGATCCTGCCCAGCTGGGTTGAAGTAGCGCAGCTCCCTGACTCTGCTGATTTCCCGCTTCCGCCCGCCAGCTATGTATAGGGTAAGGGACTGAAACCGCGGTCTTGTTCGAGCCGACTGACGCAGAGGCTGTGCAAATACGGCGTGGTGGTAGTCCAAAGCCTCGTCCACCAGGGCGGCAGCAGTAGGGCTGGACTGAACCATGGGGTGGCTATTGGCGAGGTGGTGCAGAGTAGGGATGTCCATGAGGCCATAGCGCACGTGTTGCAGGAGGTCCTCAGTGTACTGGTAACGGCAATCGTGTTCCAACCACAGAACGACCAACTACAGGTACAAAGACAGAGGAGGAACAGTTTATGAGAAGCACATTTTATATGCCGTATCCTTACTGCATTATTATTATTATTAATATTATTATTATTATGATAATAACACATTACACACATTAAGGCAACACTTATCTACACATTGTAGTGAAATTATTTTCATCCAAAGTTACTTTCAATACCAGTGGAGAACTTCTGGTCCTTTTCCTGGGGCTGCACTTCATGGGAATAACATAACATTACCAAGTTTAGTAACTGTTATGTCAAGAAGAAAGAGTACGGAAGGAAGTTGGAAAACAAAAGCAGAAAATCTAAAAAAGGACAAAAAAAAACAATAAGTGAAAGTGTGCTTATTATAATTGTTTTTCTTGACACCTATAGGCTGCTGTGTTGGGGCTTAGGGGAGCCCACACATGCACACACTCACAGACACACACACACACACACACACACACACACGCATTAATCAGTACCATTCAATATGGCAACTGTAAATATCCACAGGCAACCTTTGTTTAATGCAGGCGAACCTGGTTCCAGAGAGGGGATTTAATTGAACTTGAGAGCATTGCAAGGTTATTTAACTGCAACGAGGTGTGAATGTGGGCGAGGAGACTGGAGATCACTGATGCCATTACCAGAAAGTGTTGTTTCTTTTACATAATCAATGCACAGGCTGACAGAACTTAGAACTGTGGAACAAAGGCTAGCAGTGGAGACGAGCAGTGGGGATGACCATGGACAGATGTTGGAAACAATTTAGAGAAAAAGCCTTTGGTAAGTGATGTATGTGCACATGCTCAGTGTGACTTTCATCTTAGTTATCCAAGCAAAGCTGCTGCTCCTTTATTTCCCCTTCAATTAACTTTTTAAACTATGAATATGCAACAAACAGGCACATCAGGTAAGTGTTTTTTTGTGATACCGGTGCCATCTTTCTGTCTCCTCCCCTGTTTCTCTATCACTCACCGCGCCTCTATCCTCCTCGTAGCTGTGAAGTGACTGTGTGTGTCTCTGCACAATGGCAGCTGACTGTGAAGGTCACGCTGCATCACACAACTTCCTCAGGGCACAGAATAAATCAACTCCTTTTCCCTCCTTACCCTCTTTACTGAAAGGGAAAACTGGAGAGAAACTGTGTGTGTATGCGGGTGTGTGTGTGTATGTGCGTGTCCATAAGAAAGAGCTAGACAGAGCGAGAGGGAGGGGAGGAAACATAAGGGAGGAAGAAGCTGCAGAAGGGCAAAGGATGGCAAGAAAGAACAGAGTAAAAAAAAAAAAGCAAAGCCACAGAAAACGTGATTTCCAGAGCGCCAAAGAAAACTCTGAGTGACAATGATTGACAGCTATGCTATATCTCTCCTGCGTTGGTGCGCACAGACCCCCACCCGGAACCCATGCCACCACCACCCCACCCCTTCAAACGACAGCCCTCGCTTGCCGTTCGCTTCCGTCTGATGCCCAAATTAACCTTCTGGGCGAAGTGAAGGAGGCCCAAAGCAGCCTAATCAGAGGCTGATTATGGCAGCGGCGGCTGGCTAAAGGGTCAGGGTAATTGTGCCATCAGAGGCCTGATTGTTTTCAATCAGACGGGCGGCCGAGTGACAGCTGGGGGATTGGGGCCCTGATGGAGGCGCGGTGGGCTTAATCAGAGAAGAAAAGGAGAGAAAGAGAGAAAGATCTGGTGGTGGGGTGAGGAGGGGTGACAGAGGAGGGGAGGCTGATTGGTGCAAATGAACAGTCAAAACGGCGAGTCCCCAAACTGAACTGCTTCAGCTTTACTCCCAGAGTCTGACAGTCTATAACACAGTTGCACACAAGCAGAATCATGATATGATATAATATGAGGAGATAGAAATACTGCAATTCTCTTTCTTTCTCCATCAGTTAAAAGTTGAGTGAAGATGGCCAATTTGTCAGGAATTTTAATCTAGCATAATACTCTGAATTATTAACAATTATGATCAACTCATATCATTGCATGGTTTGAATTACAGGATAGACTAAATTCCACTGTCCAGAAGAACATGATGTGAAATATTGAAGAAGAATGCCTCAAACTAACTTTATTAATTTACTCAGCAACTGTTTCATTTTATTATCTTTGGTTGACTGTTAAAAGATAAAATATGTAGCCATTTGCTTAAAGTGTCAAACAAAAACACCAAGTACATTGGAAGTATGGAGAAACTGCCTTAGGTTTACCTGAGACCGCAAACAATTTCCAAGTAGAAAAGAAAGCCAAGACAATGACCCTAAAGGTCAGCGTCGGTCCTGATGTATGTTTATCAGGTCAAAGTGGTCTCTCAGAAATAAATAAGTGTCCAGTAAAATGTGTGCTGCATTACTGCTCTCCGGGTCTCTAGGTGTGAGTAAATACAGTTACCGTAAACACACACAAACACACACAGACTTCCACTACCTTCCATATCTCCTCCTCACTCAGTGAGGTGAGGCGGTCACTCTTCAGCACCTCCCTGAGGAGGCGGTAGGGCAGCTGCAGGGCCTCATCCTGCCGACTCTGGCTCAGCTCAGACAGATGCTCCACCAGGAAGCCCACCACTGCCTCCTCCAAGGTGGGGAGGTGGAACAGGTCAGCCACACGGTACAGCTCCAGGTAGTTCACACTGCCCAATTCCTGCAGGATGAATATGAAAACACACACATTTGAATGCACACCTTCAGCATTTACATAAGATGAAAAAACTCAGGGACAGCTGTCAAATCAAATCATGTTACAAACACACCACTATGTAATCCTTCAAAGCGGGAGTGTAATGAAACTTCAGCTTTGTTCAAATACATTTGGTCATAAAGCATTGTTTGTACCTCTTTGCGGTAGGACAAACACTCCACGGTTCTCCTTTGTGTTCAGGTGTTTATTTAACACTTTTAAATTTAATTTTCCTCAGTACTTACAAACAGCCAGAAATGACATCATAAATATTTAAAATTTGCTGGGAGGCCCCTTTAGGCAGACTCTTACCCTCAGGCAATATTTCACACTTTGTGGTTCAGTCTTTGATTTACTATAGTTTTGATCCTTTAAGAATATTCCACCTATACAGCATTTGAGCTGGGTTTGATTTTCATGGCTGAACAACAAAATTACACGTCAGGTAAACAGAGAGACGTGGAGAAGAAGGCAGAGTGAGAAAACCCATCTAAGGCCTTAATGGTGTGATAACACTGCCCTCTTCTGGTCGTTACACGGCACATGCAGTGTTTTGTTTTCTAATCTGGTGGTGTTTGATTTATATTATATAATGTAATACGTCAACGGCGTAACTAAAGAGATGGTTAAGATGATACCTCAATATGAAACGTGGTTTTACCATCATGGAGAATAAGAAAATATTTGTATTTATTTTATTTTACTATTTTTAATAAAAAGGCCACAGAGAAAACATTACAGCAAGGGTCACCAAGGTGGGCACCTGGAATACCTAAGGTCTGCCTGTCTCCCTGCCCTCTGCTGTATAATCAGTGTCATCACACTCACCTGTGTCCTGTGATTACCTGTTCATTAGTCCCACTTGTGTCACCTGGTGTCCTATATAAACCTCTCTCCCTCCCTCAGTTCTTGTTGAATCATAGTTCACTGTGCTGCCTCCTTGTTCCTGTTCTAATTCATGTCTGATTTGCTGTTGTTCCGTCCTGGTCCAGTGAGTTTAAGTTGAACTGTTTGGAATAAACATTCTGCACCTGATCAATGTCCCTCTAGTGCTGCTTTTAGGTCCTGCCTTCACAGATGCGTAACACCGAAATTGTACAGTTACTGTTCTTTTTCACACTTGCAGTGATATTTACATGGTTGCAGTAATGATAGTAAGACGAGCGTCTGCATTGATTCGTTTACTCTTTAATTATTTTGTCATTGTTCCAGAAGTTTGATTTAAGTTTATGATTTAAACCTCCACCCCAGGTAGAGTTAAAGCATTTTGTTCAATATTGGTAAATATACAAAGCTGAAACCTAACATCAAAAACATATGTCAAAACTAAATCACTATTTTGACAGTGGAGAATAAATATTAATACGTTAGTAAATAATATTAATAATTGATATTCGTAGACGTGCTGTAGACGGATTTGTCTCATGGGTTCCTTCTCACCATGTAACAGCTGCCCCCTAGTGGTAAAAACATTTGATTAAAAATTTAACAGTCTTAAATATTGCAGCTCTAACGTTCACTGTTATGAACTCGTCACCAATTAATGTCTGATCAGAAACGGTTCCGTTTAAGGACTTACACTGGTACACTGTGTAACAGTTCTATTGATCAGTTCTTTGGTTTCCACTTAAGTGAATTCCGCACATGTGCATCCGTCACAGTGGTGGGTGGAGGCGGTTAACTGTGATCGACTGACAGTTCCAGTGTTCGGCTGCAGTGTGACTTGATTAATCAATGGCATTGGTTCAGTCTTACCTTACAGTAACATCACTGATTCAATCTAACAAACAACTGCTACAGTCAGCTGCACCTTGTTAGACTGTTACAGACAATAGAAAGTGTAAAATTGTATTAACTCCAACAAATGGGATTTAGACCCTACACACCACTAGGTGGCACATTCGAACAATTTCTAAAAATGTGTTAAAACTGCAGAAGAGTGAAGGCAGATTGTCTCTGAGCACATACACAAGGAACATGTAATTAAAACTGAACGGGGGGGGGGGGGGGGGGGGGGTACTGTAATATTCCCAGTAAAATACCCTGTACAAAACAAAAGTTTTTCTTTTTTCTTTTTTTTTTGGCTCTGCAGAGTAAGATAGACTAACTTTGCTTCTATTCCAACAGATTCTGCTTGGTTTCTGGCACAGTATCCAGGAAACAGACAACAGTGTGGCCTAGTTCACTGGATATGGCACTGTACCTGATTAGAATTCTCTCCACAAAATGATAAACAACACAATCTGACCACAGGACATGTTTTTATGCAGAGACTAATGACCTCCCAATGGAGAACATACTTATGATGAGTGGGAGTTCAGTTTCTTCACACATTTAACTTAGAAGACACTAGTTTTGAGAAATACTTAATTTTAGAACGACACACTGGCAGAACATCTGTAAATGAGGACAGCATTAGACCTCCTTCTGCCAACACATCATAGACATCCACTTACTGGACCCCTCCTGTGTTCCCTGATTTGTGGAATAACCCATTTCTGCCTGAAGTGAGTGGACAACTTTATTTCATTTAGAAAAACGATTTAAACTGTACATATAGATGTACAGTGCATATAGGAAATGAACATTTGGGTGGAATTTTGCTTTGATTTTGGAACTTATTTTGACCTGACTTGAAACCCAAGGAACTGAGATTTAAAAGATTTTCTTTTCTTGTGTGGTGTGTCTTGAGTGATCTGGATAGTGTCTATTCTTTTTATACTATTTAAATACTTTCCATGAAAAATATTTGGTCAGTTTACATTTGCTTATTTTCTAATGATAATATCTACTTCAATTTATTAACAATATTTTTCCACACTCGTCTGACACATGGTTTTATTGCTTTTTCTCACTGAAAACTAATCATATTAAATGCTTCTTTTAACAACTGTTTTCTCAGCGTACATTCGTTTCGGTATGCAGCAGTGAGCAGCATTATGCTAACGAAAACCTGGGTTTATCCTGTAAGCAGCTTTGAGTGAGTAACACTAGGGGGCACAAGTGATACAAACAGAATATTTTCCCTTATCTAATGGGAATTTCTTATTTCTCAGCTGTGTGTGTACCTGGATGAGGTAGTGAGAGCAGAGGCTGAGCAGCTCCAGCAGCTGCAGGTGGCTGCCTGCCGACAGGACGTCCTGGATCACCGCCGGCTCCAGCAGAATCTGGGATAAACCAGGATAAAACAGGTCACCAGGTTTCCTTCAGAAATCACATATGTGGTAGAGTATGTTTTCACCAACATTTGTGTTGCACATGTGGATGTTCCAAGAGTTACCATCAAATTTATGTAATGTTTAAATACAGTGTTTTGTAAATGTTGCAAAACTGTACTTAATGTTTAGTCAGTTTTTAAAGGACCATAATAACTCAAACAGTTGCTAAAAACAATAATCTCATCACAACTGTTAAAATGCAGAAGAAACATGTTGGGTATTATTCTAAACATGCATTGTTGTGTTAAAAAAAATCTTACACACAAACTGCTGAAACAGAATGTGTATATAATATAATATAATATAATATAAT